TGTAGATTTATTATAAACCGTTACATAAGATTTTGTTGTTTCTCCTTTAGAGTTTGTATTAAAAATTGCAGCAACTTCATTAAAACTTTGAAAATTGTATCTAATTTTATCAAAGCCTTTTTTCAACGTGAACAATAGTTGTAGCTCAGGAATTCCTTCATTTTTTTGTCTTGCTAATTCAGCTTCTATTTGAATTACCTCTGACATCATCATGTAAGATTTTGTGTATGCATTAGAATTTCTCATAATATTTTCTATAGATTTTAAAACGTATTCGTACAAATTTCCGTTACTCTTTAATCTGTATCTGATTGATTCCTCAGGGTCATAAATAAATAATTGATTAAAACATGGATTCTCACCTTTATCCGGATATAAAGCACTATTAATTTGATAGTAAATTTGACCTTGAATTTTGTAATAGATTGGTCCTCTTCTTCTGCCATTAAAATTAATTACATTAGCATTTAAAGATGCAAAAGAAAAAGAATTATTATACAGCCTTATATTCTTTTTAAAATGACCTGATTTTTTATGAAACCTTTCTAACAAAAGCCTTAATTTATCTGGATATTGTATTGAAGTTAACACAACACCTCCATGACTACAGCAGTCATTAAAAATAACTTTTTTACCAGCATATTCTATTTTGGATTCGACTTAAAGTTTTTTCTTACTTGAAGTATGTTTTTCACCTAAATAATTTAATTGTACGTTTTAATTTTTGCCTCTAACGATAACTTTTTTGAATTTCAGCCCTACTTTGTTTAAGTGTTGTTGATGCAATATCCTTTGTTAGACATTGTTTTTTTATTTTATAAAATTTACTTATATCAAGGAATTAAAATTTAAAAAATTGTAATATCACATTAGAATTTTAACATCAAGTTTTATACATTTAATTATAAATTTTATAATTTCCATTTATCCAATTTTAACAAATTTTGCCTCTTATAGAAAATAACAACAAATTTATAATTCTCTCCTTATTCAAAACTTTCAAATTTTTCCTTCTATCCAAAATAATCAATGTTCAATTTTGTCTTTCATCCAATTTAACTAATTTCCAATTTTGTCTTTTATCCAATATATAACCAATTTACAATTTTTCCTTTTATGCAATTTAACCAATTTCCAGCTTTCTTTTTATCCAATATAACTAATTTCCAATTTTGCCTTTTATCCAATTTCTAGCTTTGTTTTTATCCAATATAACCAATTTTTCCTTTTATTAAATTTAACCAATTTCCACCTTTGTTTTTATCCAATATAAACAATTTCCAATTTTTCCTTTTATCCAATTTAACCAATTTCCAGCTTTGTTTTTATTCAATATAACCAATTTCCAATTTTGTCTTTTATCCAATTTAACCAATTTCCAGCTTTTTTATCCAATATAACCAATTTCCAATTTTGCCTTTTATCCAATTTAACCAATTTCCTGCTTTGTTTTTATCCTATTATACTTACTATTCACAAAATCACTATTTACTAATTTACGAAGTATTCACAAATAATTCACTTATTTAACTTTATATTCACTCACATATAGTGAGTGAATTCACCTGTGAATTATAAAGATTTTTTAATTTAATTTTCGTTGAAGACACGTAGAGGCCAATATATATATATATATATATATATATATTAGACCTGTATTAGACCGTACGAAAGATTGCCACAAACAATACGAACTTTTGAACAATAGCCTTTGAAAATGAGGATTAACTCCGAGAACCCAGGTAATAATATTTTCTTTCTTTCTTCATCGCAAGGAAAACTATAGATAAAAGTCAATATAGTCTGGGTAACGGCGCCAGTAACGCCGGCTCTGGTTTCTCTCTTTCTCTAAAGGCAATATAAATAAGAATGTCTCTCTTTACCTAATTTGCATATCTACTCGTTTCATATTAAGGATTAAGGATTACGGCCGGCGATCTAAGAAATTCCAACTTTTCCAAAATAAGATCCACCCTAATGAGTATAGCAAGGTTTTTTCTATTATTTGATCAATACACAAGACGGTAAAATTAATTTCAAGAATGTGCCTTGAAAAAAAAATTTAGTGTTTCACACGGAAAAAAATAGTGTGCTATAAACACATGAGCGAAACTGTTGTGTATATTGCACGCACGTTAGGTATATTCACGCACACTACCATGTTCGATATGTGTATTTTTAGCACACTATTTTTTTCCGTGCAATACCTAAAATTTTTAAAGTTCTAGAGATATGGTCAAATCCACAGAATTGGTCGATATTCACTTATAAAAATGAAAATTTTTAAATTGAAAGCACACACTGAGAAAACTAGAGGATTGGACTAAACATCTGAAGGGACTAATCGTTCATATTTGAGAGTTGACTATTGGAAAACAATCTAAATATTCAAATACACCATTGACAGATATTCGTGCCGTTTCTCTTGGAGGAAAAATGAGTATATTACAGAGGGACAAATTAACCATCTTGAGAAATCCCTTCCTTATGCTACGCGAAATGAATAAATATGGCAAACTAACCTATAAATTAAATACATAAAATGTCAATAAAATAAGTTCGCGCGCATCAGATCGTACACATTTTCTGCGCAACTTTTAACCCTCAGATATAATGCGAGAGAATATACAAGTAGATTTCGATTATCAATTCAAAATTTATTTTAGAAGGACTATTTAACTCTCTTTATAAGCAAAGAAAACATACACTTTTTGAACCTCTGAATTTGACTCTCTAGTTTTCTCAGTGCACCTTTCATTTATGATTCATTTCTTTCAAAATTTATTTTAGAACAATTACCTTCTTGTCTGATTAATTTTAATTTAATGCCGTGTGAAATAAAAGCCAAAAACGAAAATCTGAGTTTTTTCTGAAAATATAATTAAAAATTAGAGCTGTGCAAAATTCGAACCGAACCGAGTTTTGTTCGGTTTTGGGGCGCCGAAATGTCGAATATTCGACATTCGAACTAGACTGACTTGATTGTCGAAAATTCGACATTCGAACCAGGCGACTGAAATTTTGAATTTTAGAATTAGACATTTTAGCGTTCCAAAGCCGAACAAAACTCGGTTTGGTTCGAATTTTGTAGTAACTCACAAACTTAAATTGCCTAGGCAATTCGAATGTTGAATTTTCGACATTCGAACTAAGCAAAAAAATTCGAACAGTTCGGTTTGAATTATTTTGCACAGCTCTATTAAAAATGTATATTTTCTTCTTCTTTAAATATATAACTCTCAGTTAACCCATTTAGTCCCATAATTTGGGAAATTAAAAAATATCCACAACAGGTATAGTACCTATGGTTGTCGGGGTCGCTGATTACAAATCTGGAGTCAGTTTGTCAAAATTCAAAACGGCGGATTTAATATAGTCGACAAAATTTAAAAATGAAACAAATTTGCTTAAAAGTTGGCATTTGGAGGTTTTTGAAGTCGCTGATTCTGAATCTAAAGTCAGTTTATTAAAATTCAAAATGGAGGATTTATTATGTTGGACGAAGAAATAAAAAATCCATCAAATTTGTTTAAAAATTACCGCTTAGGTTTTTTCTTGATCACTGATTACGAATCTAAAGTCAGTTTTTCCAAATTCGTAACTTTTTATTTCCGCCATATGGATTTATGGATCCACTATTTTGAATTTTTAAAAACTGACTTTATATTTTTAATTTTTGTCCGCCATATTGGATCCGACATTTTGAATTTTGAAAAACTGACTTAAGATTCGTAATCAGCGACCCCAAAAACCCCCGAGAGACCATTTTCAAGTAAATTTGTTTAATTTTTAATTTTTGTCCGCCATATTGAATCCACCATTTTGAATTTGCATATCTGATTTTAGATTAATATTCAGCAAACCCCGAGAATTCAGAAAACAATTGTAATTTAAAGTATATGTTACTGATTTACTTTTATTACAGTCAAGTTTAACCTGAAATAATGCGTTGCCATGTATAAGTTTGTTAATAACAAAAAACATAAATAATATAGTTGATATATATATATATATATATATATATATATATCAATTCACTTGGTCATGATTTTGATTAGGATGGATTTTTAGTACTAGATAAAGAAGGTTCATTTAAAAAACGCCTTATTTCTGAAATGCTCCACATTAACTTACAAAAAAATTCAATTAATAAAAAAGATGACACATTAAAACTTAGTAGTTATTATACTCATTTTCTCAATGAAAAGAAGGATTTATAATCAGCTGTCTTTTCAGTTTACCTTGACATTTCTCTTTCTTAGTTTTGTTTATCGATGGGGCATTGACCCCGAAAAATTGTACATCGATCACTCGTACTTGTCTGTATATTTGTTTAGTGTCATATTGTAATCGTAGCGACAAAGATGTGCCTATCTTAATTTATAATTTTAATTTTTCTAATTTTCTTTTTTTCGGTAAATATTTAATTTTTTAATTTTTTATTGTTAATCAAAAAATTGTAAAAAACTGTAAAAAAAACTTTTTTTTAATATTTTGTTTTATAATAAATTATAGTTCTGAAGAGGACAGCTGTGCTGCCGAAACGTAAAAAGAATTGAATTTCTTTTATTTTTATTTTCCTTGACTCGGAGTGATCGTTGATTTTCACTATTTATTATAAATAATATAGATTAATTTGTTAAAAAACTACTAAACCCTATTTGTAGAAACATAAAAATAAGAAATCTGCAATTATTTTAAGTTTTCCTTTAAGTTATGTTCAAAAAATCGGTGGCTTAAAAGGTGGTCGATATATCGACCACTGTGACTGAAAGGGTTAACACAGATTTTAAATTTTTAAACTGAAATTAAGATGGTGACCTATTAACATAAAAAAAATCAGAGACGAATATCTTTTATAAACTTTACTTTGCATTATGTTCTCCTGTACAAAAGTGCCATTACTCAATTTTATTTTAAACTTCTTTTGCTGTAGAATTTAAATGCTTTGTAACATTTTTATAAATTTAATTTAAACTAAGATGATTTTTCTGTTTTAGCATGGGATTGGAGTTGAATTCATCAAAGTTCTTCCGGAAACAAATTCTCCAGTTTTATCTAACATGTTTTGTGAATGCGACTCGAAAGATGATGTGGTGAGAATTATGTATAGATCTATCCCTATCTTATAAAAACATTTTAGGCTTTTTTCAGGGCCTCTTCATGAGGGCTGTCATCTACGGGACCTCCTAAATAGTATATTTATAATAACTCTAGGGCAAAATATTTTAAAAATAGGTCAATTTTGAAAGTTATTCAAAGTCTATGCTTCATAATATAGAGCATAACGTAATCTTAGCATTAAGTTCCAATCAATATAGATGTTATGAACTGACATCTATTTTAAAAAAATTCCATTAAAGTAAATAAAATATAAATTTTAAATTACATTTCAAAAAATGTAAAAAACAATATTGTAAGGGGCAAAAATATAAATACTTAGTTTTTAAAAATTTGTTCTGTTTCAAGTATATAATAAAAGTCAAGATGAAACCAAGTAAGAAATAGGGGTTTGGCGCACGAACCGCGTAGGGGGGCTTAGCCCCCCTAGTATATATATTAGGTGTTGTACCAGTCTTCGAAGGGTATAATATTCAGGTTTGTCAAAGTTTTACATTCTGTAACTACACATAACTATACGTGTTCTTGTGTACTACATTATACTCTCACAAATTTCAATTAAACTTACAAAATGTATAAAAATTATGTAAATGCAACTTCCTTAATGCTACAAATAATTGTGATTTTCCGTTTTATTTAAATACATAATAGGTATTATAATGTCATAATGCTTCATAAGAATATGCCACTTTTGAAAGTTGATTAAAAAATTTTAACATTTTTTATCAGAAAATGGAAATTCAAAAATTTTTGTCATTTATTTTATAAATATTAATACATTCCGTACACAGCTGGTGTACCGACGGAACTCTTATGGAATGACATGGGTGTCCATCATTTATGTATTCCCCCCTTTAACTTAAACATATTTTTTGAGGAATTGTGAGCCACCTATTTTTGGGAAAGCTAAGTAATTTAACAAAAATAATTCTATTCATTGCGATTAATGCCATAGAGCTGTTCACTTAAAATGTGTAATTAATGGAGCCTATTTTACTTGTCCAAATTGTGATTCTGTTTAATTTCATTTTCTTACTTTTCTTTTCTAATTTTAAACTAATAATTAAACATTTTTAATATTTATAACCATTTAATAAAATTTGATATCGTCGTTATTTTTGATTTTGTACTTAATTCAGGCAGTGGTCTACACACACCAGGCTCCTAAGAATTTAAGGTTTCATAAAAATGAACGCAAAATCTGTAAGTAGGGTTTGATTTCTTTCTGTTCAGAGTGTCAAAATCCGTTTAGAACAAAATCCTCGAATTTTAACTGAACAAACTTTAAATGAACTGGAAACAATTCTTATCTAAATAACTTCCCAGAAGAACCAGACATAATAAATTCGTATCACAATCTTTAATTCCTTTTATTTTGAAATGAGGTTTTTGGCATTCTAAACTTTGAAATTCTGTAACTCATAAAATTTTTCACCAAAAAGGTGATAATTTCAAGAAACTAACTATGATATATGTTAGGTTGTAACACCTGCTGACAAGAAAAATTTGAAAAACATGTTGTTGTTTAAGATAGTGAACTATGAAAAATTGTGTCCCACAATACCCCAATCTCCCCTACTTTTGCTGTGATCGCACTTTTATTCATTCATGGTGGAATTCTGCGTCGAATAATCTATTGTTAACTTATTTTAATCGAAAACTCGTGTGTAGATTTAAATTTTTACTATTTTTTGATATTTCGTACAACTGTGCGCTCGTTCTCTGGTCGACCGACTAAAAACCTCTCCCATCTTATTCTGGACTATTCTTCAACACACGAACCACCAATAAGTTGTTTCAAACTCAGTGAGTGAAAGTCCTATTATGTTTCTGGCACAACCCTTCCGTGCCGCTTTTCCTCCGCACTATTTATTTTTGGCCCTAGCGAATCTTTTTGGCCTTCTCAAGAGCCGACCTAAAGAATCCGCATCCACTACTACCTGTGACAGGGTCAACGTGCTTTTCCTTACATAAGAAGGAGCTTGGGCTTCTTTTACAGGACGCAGACATATGACCGGCTTCACCGCACCTAAAGCACGCAGCCGATCTGTCTACTACCTTACAAACTTTTCCTACGTGGCTGCATCCGAGGCACATTGCACCTAACGAACAAGCAAATCTTGCTGATTGGGCACGACATAAAACACTTTTATGCGTCCTAATTTTTCTATCTATTCAGCCTCTTCGCAGTTCGTGACTATGACATCCAGATTCAAGCCACGATTGTTGGGCCCTAAGACCGCCACTTTTCTAACTACTGATGGTGGACCTGAAATCTGCACCATTACTGCTTCGACTTTTGCTTTCTAATCAAAACAATTACTTATTGTTCAATTTTTCATTTTAGAATAATTACACTACCGGCAGAAATTGTGCGACCGCTAACACCTCGAGCTATTAAAAAACACATCCGCATAATAACAGTGATAACTCCATCAAAAATGAAGCTACATGCTTTTTTAAATTGCATTGGAAAGCTTATTAAATTTCCAATGAAATGACACTATTTTTATTTGTGTTGGAGTTGAATCTCGCGCACTATTAAGCGCATGCGTGACAACCTCGTTTGAACACATTTTATGATCGAGGAACGCTTTGCGATTCTCACTTACTAACGAATAGTTGTAAAACGTTTTTGTAGTCGCTGGGTAAGAATTCCTGAAGTGGGCAACGGATTTTCCAAGGTTTGCAATTTCTATAATAAACTTTATAAAAATAAAGTACTAATAGAGGGACAAACAGTCACCAAGTTTTATTTGAAAATATTCATTTGTTTATTTTTTATAACAATTTAATTTTAATGTAACATTTTTTTTAAACATTTATATCTCAGAACTGGATTATCGGATTTTGATGAAAATTTTTGGACACAATTAATGAAGATTCCAGCTTTTTAAGGAAAATTATTTCAATGTTGAAAAAAATTATTTATTGTAAAAAATAATTGTTAATAATAAACAAATGAATAATTAATTGTGTTCTGGACCTTTTTCCTAAAATTTTTTTTCAGAACCTTAAACTATATAAATCAAGGATTATATAACTGAAAGAAAAAGTTGGTAGATCGAAATAGTTTATTAACTGTGGATTTTTTGTGAGCGCGGTCGCGTTGTCCGTGCGACGCGGCTTGACGTGGAGCTCCATAAGTTCATTGCAGACTTATTACGAACACAGAGTATTCTTAAAAACTGAAATACAGAATAATTATCTAAAATTTAAGATTATTAGTAGAATTATTTTACCACATTATTGTTTATACTAGTGACAATAATATGTAAAAATAATTACTTTATTAAGGTATTTTTAAGAAATGTAATTTATTTTCAATTAAATAAATTTCACTTTGTTGGTGTTTAACTAGTCTTTTTGTTTCAATTTTCGACTAAATTTGTAAGTAAATAAACAATGTTTTTGTTAAATAAGTAAAAAGTTCACAGTAAAAAAATTTTCTTTAGATTAAAATTTTTGTTATGGATTTTTATTGAAACTGGTAAAATTTCGTCTAAAGCAGAGAATTCAAATTTCCTTGTGTTAGATTAATAAAACAAATTATACAATATTTCTCGAACAAAAAATTAAAATTGAAAACATTCCAAGTGTAAAATATTGTTTTCTGAGTAATAAACAGTTTTTTTTCTTCAAATTATCGTTGATATTAAAAAAATAAATCCAACATAAACAAATTTAAAATCTTTGCTTTAGACGAAATTTTACCAGTTTCAATAAAATTCCATAACAGAAATTTAAATTTTTACTTTTAACTAAAACATTTTTTATTTATTTACAAATTCAGTAGAAAATTAAAACAAAAATACTAGTTAAACACCAACAAAGTGAAATTTATTTAATTAAAAGTAAATTACATTTCTTAAAAATACCTAAATGAAAAAATTATTTTTGCATATTATTGTCACTAGTATAAACAATAATGTGGTAAAATAATTCTACTAATAATCTTAAATTTTAGATACTTATTCTGTATTTCAGTTTTTAAGAATACTTGGTGTTCGTAATAAGTGTGCAATGAACTTATGGAGCTCCACGTCAAGCCGCGACGCACGGAACAACGCGACCGCGCTCACAAAAAAATTCACAGTTAATAAACTATTTCGATCTACCAACTTTTTCTTTCAGTTATTTAATCCTTGATTTATATAGTTTAAGTTTCTGAAAAAAAATTTTACGAAAAAGGTCCAGAACACAATTAATTATTCATTTGTTTATTATTAACAATTATTTTTTACAATAAATAATTTTTTTCAACATTGAAATAATTTTCCTTAAAAAGCTGAAATCTTCATTAATTGTGTCCAAAAATTTTCATCAAAATCCGATAATCCAGTTCTGAGATATAAATGTTTTTAAAAAATGTTACATTAAAATTAAATTGTTTATAAAAAATAAACAAATAAATATTTTCAAATAAAACTTGGTGACTGTTTGTCCCTCTATTAGTACTTTATTTTTATAAAGTTTATTATAGAAATTGCAAACCTTGGAAAATCCGTTGCCCACTTCAGGAATTCTTACCCCCGCTCAATAAATACAGTCGTCTTTTACGCACAATAATTTTTTTATTACTGAGTCCTACATTAACTATTTTAACAATTTGTATTACATAAATAGGAAGCGAGATAGCATATTATAAACACAGAAAAATAATTCTATTTTTTTAATTTCTTACTCTTAATTTGACTCCCCGTGTAGAAATTTGTCGTGGCCTTTCTAGTGTTAGTCTACAGCTACCCTATTGAAAATCCCCATATGGGAAACCACATGGGAAACCACATGGGATCCTATGTCAAAAACCATGTAAAACCCTACTTCCATGAAGGAAACCACGTGGTTTACCATGTGGTTTCCCATGTCAAACCATATGGGAAATTGAGACAGGATTTTAGTTAGGAATAGACATGGGGAATTTGAACAGTTCATCTATGCATAAAACCATATCAAATCCCACATGTTTTTCCCA